TACAGCAATAGCTGCATAACATCACCTTGCAAATCTGAGGCAGTGTCTTCCAGATGTTGTATATGCTCTAAATAACCATCAAATACATGGTTCTATTTTTCCCAGAGCCAGGATTTATAGGACTGGGATTCAAGAGATGGGTCTGGGAGTGGCTGCTCCACAATTACCCTTAGTGCTCCACTAGAGAAGTTTTTTGTTTCCTCTTCCCATGACTTTGGGCTTTGCTGGTCTACCAGTCTCAGGCTTCTTCTAGGGATCACAGCAATGGTCCATTAGACTGGAAGCTGATAGTGGTACCCTTCCATGGGAAAAAGGACTTTGTGAGAATTAGTTTTAAGAGGAAAGTTGCATTGTTACGTGAAAACATGTTTTGCTACTGTATTCATTGGAAATATAGGTACATTAAAAAAATACACTGATGTCAAGTTGACTAGGGGTAAATTACTATGGTTTCTAAGTGTAAACTTAGTTAAGTATTAGTTCTAATCCCCATAATTAATCCTATATTATATACTGCTTATACTGGTCCTATTCTCTAATTTGTCCCTAATACAATTAGTATGCAGAATATATAAAAAGCTTCTATAACTAAGATGAACTAAACTGAATATAAAAATGAAAAAGAAACAGAAATGGCATATGAAAGAAAAACAAGACAAAAAGCTAATACAGGATGATCAAACTCTTCAGTAATCAGGGAAATACAAATTAAAGCATAAACTACTACTGCACACTGATCAAAGTAGCAAATTATTAACATGATTGAAAATTCTAAGAATGAGCTTAGATTATCCCCAGAGTAAGTGGTAGACATTGCTTGGTGAGAACATAAACTATTTAATCACTATGGGAAATACCATTTCCTGAAAATAAGACAGTGTCTTATATTAATTTTTGCTCCCAAAGATGCGCTAGGTTTTATTTTCAGGGAATATATTCTGTACTGTATTCTTTTTCCATGAAGAAGAATACAGTACACATTTATTGTTAAATGAAAATAAAGGGAATTTATTACCTGTACAGAAATACGGTAGTTGTCAACACAAACCAAACTGTGAATCCTACAGTATCAAGAATTTACTCATTTATTCAATGTCAATCATGTCATCATCTTCTGGAACATCATCATAACAATCCAATTCCTAAATTTCCTGGTTAATTTCTTGTGACTCCATTTCTTTCGGAATAAATGGACCAAATCTCCCCCCTAGGGGGGCCTTATTTTCAGAGGATGCCTTATATTTCACTCAGAAGGAAACCTGTAAATAGGTCTTATTTTCGGAGGATGTCTTATTTTCGGGGAAACATGGTAATTGACAATACTGATAAAGCTAAAAATGAGTATTCACTAAGACCTACAAATTCTATACCTAGGAAGGACTCTAGAGAAACTTTCAGACTAAAAATAGGTAGAAACATATAATATCCTGTATCTAGAGAATGGTGACAGAATTCAAATATACTGGAGATTGAGGAACAACAGTTACCTTGAAGTTAGAGACGATATCCATTGCCAACTATGGTTGGCAACCTAAAAATTCCCAATGGTCCCTTGTCCTTAGGTAATTATACCTTTGTATAATAGCCTCTCCTTCTGTATGGCTCTGGTTTAGTGACTCACTTCGAGTGAGAAAAACAAAGCAAAACAAAAAAATCTTCACTCCACCCTAACTGGTTTGGCTCAGTGGATAGAACATCGACCTGGGACTGAAGGGTTCCAGGTTCAATTCCAGTCTAGGGCATGTATCTTGGTTGTGGGCACATCCCTAGCAGGGGGTTTGCAGGAGGCAGCTGATTGATGTTTCTCTTTCATCAATGTTTCTCTCTATCCCTCTCCCTTCCTCTCTGTAAAAAAATCAATAAAATATATATTTTAAAAACACTTCAAGTAGTGATATCGATAGAATGTCACTTGCAAGACTAGACTATAAAAAGACCGTGGCTCTTTCTTTTCTTACTTTGAGGAATGCCAGCTGCTACACTGTGAGCTCCCCTATGAAAAGACCCACATAACAAAGAATTGATATTTCCAATCAACATCCAGCAAGTCCTAAGGCCAATCAATAGCTTTATAGAAAGTCTGGATGAGGATCCTCCCTCAGCTATGCCTTGAGATAATTATAGGCCTGTCTGAGGCTTTGACTGCAGAAGTATGAGATCCTGAACCAGAGACCTCCAGCTAAGTCATCCTCAGATTCTTGACTCATAGAAATTGAGCTAATGCTTATTTTTTTAAGACATTACACTTAGAATAATTTGTAAAATAGCAATAGATAACAAACATGAGCTCCTATAATCATTGTAAACCTATAGTGGTAAACAAATTCATCATTTTCAGACTAACAGGGACCCTGAATTATTTAAAGGCACCCATTAACTCATCTAATAATTTCTGAAGGCCTAATCTATCAGGCTTTGTTATAGGGGTAAAGTCATAAAAAAAAAAAAATAAAGCAGCCCACAAAAAAAAACAAAAAAAAAAACCAGCCCAGAACCTATGCTTTTATGGAGTTTTTCACAGACAATAAACAAAATGTATCTTATGCCAGAAGACAATGATTTCTATTGAGAAAAATAAAGCAAGGAAGCAGGACAAAGCCTGGTTTATGTAGGGTTTGCAATTTAAAAAAAAAATCCTCACCAGAGGATATGTTTATAGATTTTAGAGATGAAAGGAAGAAACATTGGTATGAGAAACACTAATCAGCTGCCTCCCATACACACTTCTAGGGATTGAACCAACAACCTAGGATGTGTCCTGGTTGGGCATCAAATCCCCAACCTTGCAGTGCAGTTAGTTAACCGAGACACCAAGCAGGGCAGGGTTGCAATTTTTAAAAGGGTAGCCAAAGCCTTCTCTGAAAAGAAGATATGTGAACAAAACCCCAAAAAGTGTGAGGGAGCATGAGTCATACAGGATCTGGAGGAAGCGTGTTCCAAACAGAAGAAAAAGCAAATGGAAAAGTGCTGGAAGCTACCCATTGTCTACAGTCCAATGTTTCCCAAAGTGTGGTACGCGTACCCCCAGGAGTACGGGAAGAGTTTGGTGGGGGTACACATTGCACTGGAGTTTGGTGAGGATATGCACTGCACAGTGCTTAGCTGTGCTTAATTCTACATTCTCATGAGTACGAGGGGTACTCAGCGTTACAAAAATTATAGAAGGGGTACACATATGTCAAAAGTTTGGGAAACACTGGGTAGACTCTACACTATCATGAAAGTGCAGCTGGGAACACATAAGGCTGATGGACCTTGGGCTTTAACAAGAGCTAAAAGCCATACACTGATTGTTCTGTCAAGACAATGGTGGCTCAAGGCAAATCCCTAACCTGATAATCTTTTACCATTTACCAAACCTTACCTTTGATGTGTATGTTTGCTTTGCTAAAGGGAAAATGTATATTGTAGTAAATAAAAAGCTATGGGTCCAGATTTGAGGAACCACTACACTAGAGAATAAGGCCTCTACCTGGCTCTCCCATGCATTCCAAATTTATATTTCTTGTCTAATGTATTCATTTATGTGCAGTCCCTTCTCCAGACCCTGAATCCTTGCTGCAAAAGATTGTGGCAGAAAAATTTTGATGCAGGACTGAAATGAACCAGTACATAATTTTAAATGGCCTGTTCACCTTTCTCAGGAAGTTAGCTTTACCTCTGCTATGAAATAAAAGTCATTGAGTTTTGCCTGGCAGTGTAGCTCAGTGGCTGAGCAACGACCTATGAATCAGGAGATCAAGGTTTGATTCCCTATCAGGGCACATGCCCAGGATGCTGGCTACAGCCCAGTGGGAAGCATATAGTAGGATCAATAATTCTCTTTTATTATTCATGTTCTCCCTTTCAGAGAGGAAAGGGAGAGTGAGAACATGAATGTATACACATACACACACACACACACACACAGTATATATACTAATAAAGGGGTAATTATGCTAATTAGACTGGACATCCTTCTGGACAAAGCCACAGTGGCGAGGGCTGAGGCAGAGGCAATTGGGAGAGATCAGGCCAGTAGAGGAGAGCAGTAAGGAAGCAATCAGGCTGGTCGGGGAGAACAGTTAGGGAGGAAATAAGCTGGCAGGGGAGAGCAGTGATCAGGCCAGCAGGGGGAAGTAGATAAGGAGTGATCAGGCTGGCAGGCAGAGGTGGTTAGAGACAATCAGGCAGGTAGGGGAGCAGTTAGAGGCATCAGGCTGGCAGGCAGAGGTGGTTAGCGGCAATCAGGCCATCAGGCAGGCAAGCAGTTAGGAGCCAGCGGTCCCAGATTACAAGAGGGATGACTAACTGCTGGCTTTGGCCCGAAACCAGCAGTCAGACATCCCCCCGAGGGGTCCCAGATTAGAAAGGGTGCAAGCCAGGGTAAGTGACAAGGACAAGCCCCCCACCCCAACTATTTGTGCGCTGGGCCTCTAGTATATATATAATTTTAAAATTCATTGAGTTTTGAGAAAAAGAGTGATATCATGTTTTTAAATGATCATTCTAGCTACTGTGCTTAAAAATTATTAGTGTGGAATAGTAGAGGAAACAGGCTTTGGGGGACATCAAGTGTAGAAGCAAGGATACCAGCTAGAAAGTTTTTATAATAATCCCAGGAAGAGTGTGGTGGTTCAGACCAGGGAGAGAGAAATGAAGGGTGTTAAATGATGGTCAGATCATGAATATGTTTTAAGAAAGATTCAACAGGATTTGCCAGACTATTCATAGGGTAAAAATGTGTGTATATCCACTGAAGGTACCTAGTGTAAATCATTAAGCCAGAAACACACATGCTTTATTAAATCTTCTTTCAAATATTTGTTATTCTTAATTCCCTATAGTCTATACCCACTCTTACAACCATGTTTCCAGGCATTGTAATAACAACTTTCAATGGATTTGAAGGTTTCAAAGTATTTTAATTTTTAAATTATGCTACATTTAAATCAGCAGCAGAGTGCTTAAATGAAAGGTTGATTTTCAGCAATTCTGTGTTACATTAACTGTGATCATTACTAATCTTTCCACTCTTCTGGAGTGACTCTGCGAACAGGGGACAGGTTCCATTCTATTCCAATCTGTGTAGTTGTAATTAACCATGCAAAGACACAGAAAATGGAGCCACTGGCTAGTATAATGCCACCATGTTTGTCATGAAAATTTTCAGAGTGTTTCTTCTGGCTCTGTTTTGCCCTTATTTGCTGAAAACTTTGAATCTTGACACTTCTCAATATATTTCTAGCCAAGGGAAACATCGTGAAGGTGTGAAGGGATAGCCGTTGATTGCAGCTGCTGGGCTATTTCCTTGTAGACACCTGAAAAACAAATGATGAACAATGACTTCTGATCTGCATTCATTTACTCTCTCTTTCAATGTTTCTCCCACAGCACCTCTCAAGTGTGCTGGTCCTGTGAGTTTTGACATCATGATGTTTCTATTTGAATCTCAGCTCTGCATCTGATTAGCTGTGAACTGGTGCAATTATTTAACCTCTCTTTGCCTTAGTTTCTTCAGTGGCAAACTGAGAGAATAATGTTCAACTTCAGGGGGTATTGTGAGGATTACATGTGATAATCCATAACAAAAACCACCACAAAGCAAGCACACAACAGCTATTAGTTTTTCTATTCTTTGCAAATAGCCAATGGTTTGCTCAAGAGAGAGATTACAAACTCATCAGCATGAATGATAAAATGACTAAAATTCCCAACTTGCCCCACATGTCCAATGGCATGCTTATATTTAAACAAACTGATTTTATTGAGAATTATAGGCCATTCTCAGAGTATGTGTCCTCCTTCTGCTCCTTTTCTCCCTTCCTATTAACCTTCTCCTTCTCTTCCTTTCATCTCCTTCTGTACCTGTAATTCCTCCATGCACCTTCCTACAGGTAAAATTCTATTTATACTTTAAAGCCTAGTCTAAAAGTCATGCCTTCTGGGAATTTTTCTCCAAAACCTCCCTAGGATAAGCTGCCACTTTTCTACGCTACTACTCTTCGTAAAATCCCTCTCTCATAGCATGATTCACTAGCTTTATTATTTTTAAAGGCTTTATTTTTTAGACCAGTTTTGGGTTCATAGCAAAATTGAATGGAAAGTACAGAGAGCCCCCATGTATACCTGACTCCACACATACATAGCTTTGCCCTCATGTGCCAGAGTAGCACATTTGCTGCAATCAATGGATCTACATAGCAGTCCTTGAACAGAGATGTCTTTTACAAGCATTTTCTCCCAGCCTGTGGCTTTTCTTGTCATTCTTTTGAGGAATTATTTTATATTATCCTCCAGTAAGCTGCAAGGTCTTCAAGAGCAAGAGGTTTAGCTTTACATACACAGTAGCTGACAAAAGCATAGAAATAACTTTGAACCAATGTGAAAGTGTTAGTATCCTCATAAACATCTAAATCTGATAACAACTTTAAAATCAAAAAATTAAATGTACACGTCATAAGAGCCCTAATTATTTTTTTTAAATAGTTATACTGAGAGGTCTAGAAGCAGAAACATATGAAAAAGTTCTATAAATTTCTCCTCTTTGTACAAACTATCAAACAGTGTTCTGTCTCTAGTAATGGCAGGAGCTAACTGTAGCCCACATGCAAGCAACATGGATACAAAAGGGCCTGAGGTCAGTGTTGTAACTGTTCATCAAGATTTGCCAAGTCAAATGACTTTATTTCCAACTTAGGAAACAAGACCCTAAGGTTCTATTTTATTTCCACCCAGAAGGTAAAGTGTCTTCAAGATTGTGACAAAAAGGGCAAAACCCAAATGCATTTCTTCTGAGGTTCCAAATATTCAGAGTGTTTTTCCTGTTAGTCATGAATCTCTCCTCCAAAAGTCTCTAAGGTTTTAATTTTGTATTGAATTCAGAGAATAGGTTGAAGGTGAGATGGGTCCAGGTGTGACAGGTGCACCCTTAATCCAATACGTAAGCACTTTGGCACACATCGTTTCCAGTCTTTAGGGAGGCACATAACTAAAGAATAATGTGTGATAACAAGAATCTCTTGTGGGTCACTGACTCCTTCCTGCTACTTTATGACAAATTGATTTCATTAGTCTCATCCTCACAATGTTAAGTTGAAACTCAGATACTTTGTCTCTAGTGACACTGTTTACATCCGTTTGTGGCTCAGTTCATCCTTTGGCTATTCCCATATCTGAGCAGCCTTTCTTTTCCATCTAGCCTGAGTTTTCTCATACTGACAAATGGCCATTACTTAGAATTTCCCTTGAAGAACTCTTTGTGTAGTTTCCATTTCATTGATAATAAACAAAATGCAGGCATTTCATTCCTTTTTGGTTTTTCCTTGTCAGCATCAGCTATATCTCAGTTGCTTTTCTACATACTTATATATAATTTTGTTTATAATATACACTTAAGAGCTAGGAACCCACTGATTATAGAGTATTACTGAACTCCATATGACTTACTTCTACAATAGATTTTGTGTTACAGCAGAGCCCTAAGTTATTACCCCAAAAAACTGAAGCAACAGGTTCTAATATTTATACAAAAGCATAAAAAGGGGACATACAATGAAATAATAAAATGTAGGCAAAGAAAGTATTTCTTAAAGTAGATGCTTTCTGATGAAAACAAACTACAAAAAGATTGCAGAAGACAGATTTTTTTAGATAATATGAACAAAGTAAAGTTCCTCTCATGTTTATGGCAATAAAAAAAATATGTTCTGAATATAAACTGTTCAAGGAAGTAGAGTAACCTATTGAGGATGAAAAGGAGAGATTGAGTTATCTATTTTATATAGTAATTTTGAAGTTCAGTTCACAAAAAAATAACTAATATTATACCACAATTTAACTGGGATAAGGAGGTTCATATAGATTTGAAGTTTCACAGGTAACAATAATCATTTCAAATCATTAAAGGCCATAAAAAGAAGTAAAGCAGTTAATACAGAAAGGAAACTAATATTTGTTGAATATACACTAGGATTTTGCACATCTGCAAAAATGGTGTGAAATGGGAATTATTTACCTGTACTTCAAATAGAAGAACAGATGATAAGACAAGATGTGAACTCAATCAATTCCTTTGATTCTAAATCTGGTACATTTTTCAGTTATGTCATGTTTTAAAGTATATTTAATTCTGAGTGCTGGAAACAAACAACTCTAGTATGGTCACCACAGATGACCCTTTATTTGAAAACTAGAGGCCCAATGCATGAAATTTGTGCACGAAGGCATCCCTCTCATAATCCAGGACTGCTGGCTCCCAATTGCTCACCTGCCTGCCTTCCTGATTACCCCTAACCGCTTCTGCCTGCCAGCTTGATCACCTCCTAACTACTCACCTGCCATCCTCTTTGCCCCTAATATCCCTCCCCTGCAGGCTTGGTCACCCCTAACTGCCCTCCCCTACAGGCTTGATTGCCCACAACTGCCTTCCCTTGCAGACCTGATCCCTCCCAACTGCCTCCCTTGATGGTCATCTTATGGCAGCCATCTTGTGTCTACATGGGGTCAGCCATCTTGTGTGTTGGAGTGATGGTCAATTTGCATATTACTCTTTTATTAGATAGCATAGTGGCCTGGTGCACAGATGGGGGTCACCTAGTTTGCCCTGAAGGGTGTCCCGGATCAGGGTGAGGGTTCCCTTAGGTTAGGGTATGGTGGTTTACAGGCTGGCCATGTGGAAGCCCTGGTATCTGGGATTTATTTATCTTCTATAATTGCAATTTTGTAGCCTTGAGTGGAGGCCTGGGCACACCAGGGCAGAAGGAAAGCGTGGCTTCCTCCATAATTAGGGGCAACCCAAGCCTTCCTGCTCTCTACATGGCCACAGCCATCTTGGTTGGGTTAATTTGCACACTAGTTTCTGATTGGCTGGTGGGTGTAGCAGATGAATGGACAATTTGCATATTACTCTTTTGTTAGATAGGATGGTTCAGTTCAACTTACTGAGTTGCTACTGTGTATCGGAGCCTGGCCTGGAGGTCAGGATACCATGCATACTCCTGAGAAGCTTATGATAAAATGAGGAAATAAATGGTTCCACTGTCCTAGGGGAGGATATAGGCTAGATATGAGAAGTACATTTCAACCTGGGACTCCAGAAATAGGTTTAGAGGAAATGATACCTAGGCTAGACAAATTTTATCACAATGAAAAGCACTTAATGCCATATGTATATGTATATGTATATGTATATGTATATGTATATGTATATGTATATGTATATGTATATGTATATGTATATGTATATATAATCCAGAACACCATATTGACCAGAACGACTGGCCGCTATGATGCCCACTGAGGCCAGCAAAGCTCAGAGACAAGCCTAGAGGGATGAGGAAAGGGTGCACATTAGATCTTTACATGCCTCACCATGGACATTATTGACATTTTGGTTCAAGTAATTCTTTGCTGCAGTGGTATGTCCTGTCAGTGCAGGGTATTTAGTGGCATCCCTGCTTCTATATATTGTATTATATACCAGTAGTACCTAACTCCCTCAGTTGCGACATTAAAAATATATCTACGGGAGAGGGAGACAAGAGGGATTTGTTCTGAGCCTAGTCCCAGAACAGATAGAATCAGATTCTAAAACTCGCTCAAGAAGTATAGATTGGCAAGCTAAGGGGTAGCAGAACTCAAAAAAAAAAAAAAAAAAAAAAAAAAAAAAAGGTAAGGGTCCCATGGACAGGATTTCCTGACCAAGCAGCCAGCACTGCGGCAGCGGAGACCTCTCCCGGAGCTATGGGCTCAGAGGGAAGGCTGTGCCATCTTACCAAGAAAGTAGGACCTTCTCTGAGGCCTGGAAAACACACAGCAGAGGAGACTATCAGCAGCTGTGATGCCTCAATCGGCGCAAACACCTGGATTAAAGGGAGTTCTTCAATCACCCACGGAAAGGTCAGAGTTTGCGGGGGAAAAGTGAGGGTTCCGGGTCTCCTCGGCACAGGCAGTGACTGTACCCGTGGCGTGCCCCAGTGGCACGACTCAGCAGCAGTGACCCAGCGGCCCCGCGCCACAAGCGGCCCTAGCCCCATGCGGCCCCCGCACCACCAGCAGCCCCGTGCCGGGAGCTGTGCCAAAAGAAATAGCGGCTGCAGAGAGAATAGCATCGCACACTGCAAGACCCAGTGCTGGGTTTGGCGTGATCTTCCCCAAAATTGGGTCTTTATTAAAAACACCAAGGGATGCGGGACAAACTGTTAACAATCAGGACCATCCCGCCAAAAGCAGAACATCCGGACACTTTGGAGCAGACCCA